CACTGGGAACCCCCTCCCCATCCCCCTCGTTGGAGGACTGCACCACGGGGACTGACGACAGGTTCTCCAAGACGTCGCTCAGGAAATCAGCCATACCTCCTGAGCCGGCCAGCACCAGCCAGGGCATGTTTTTTTTCAGAGAGAGATCCACTCTCTGACAGAAGAAAGAATAAGACATTTTGATAAATAGTATTAGTTTTAATCCATTTACGTAATAATTGATTTGATTATCAAGAGCCGTGATTGTACCTCCAGCATGCTTGCCTCCCCAGACACCAGCATACAAAGGACGGGGATGTCAATGCTGCCGCTGCCTGCAGAGATGTAAGCATTCTTTTACAAATTCATATAGCGCGTCTGTTAATTATTTCCTGTGATGCAAACTTTACAAACACATTCGCAAACTTGGAATAATCAAACTGCATATTTCTCAAGTAACACAAGAGCAGAGTGACAACACAGATACAGAAAGAAGACCCTGTTCAATCTTTAAGACAAATCTCTGCTTGACTTTACATGTTGACGAGCTGTGTCTCAAACTCATGCAGTGGCATGCATCGGCATGCATCCGGTGGATTCCAGAGGATCGCATGCATTGATCAGAGATCATCTCAAGACGCTCAAATAGCTTAAAATCAAGGTTGGATACTTGTGTCCCACATCCAGTTCTACCAGATATTTCAGGATATAAACTAAACTACAAAAGCAGAAATGTTTACACCTACTTCCTTATTTCACAAGTGGAGAGTATATGAGATTTTACTGTGCAAACTCTCACCCCAGATGCCTGTGCGCTGGTGGGAGATGTAATCCTCCAGTTTGGCCCTGAACCCTGTATCGCCTCCTCTGCGTCCCACGCTCCCGTCGTCTACCAGCAGAAAGGCCTGGTAGTTGTTGTCCAAGCAGCAAGAGTTCCGTGTCGTATTTTGGACGTAGTACTTAGCAGGAAAGGAACCCTACAAAAGAAGAACAATCCCAAGGAATAGCAGTGAAAAGCTGCAGTCCAATGGATACCTGCATTTCAGTGGATACTCTTATTGTAAAAATCCTTGAACAGTTAAAGATAAGAGTAAGTATAAATATATCCAAACAATAAAGTGATTCAGCCAAAAACTAAACCATAAAACTGATGAGAATGCTCAAATTATAAGGCTCATATTACAGTGAGATTGTTACAGACAAATTAACAAATATCTTTTTAGAGCGTGAAAAAGTGCTGAAGAAATGAACCTGAGGGTTGACCAGCTGCTCCCGGTTGTGGACCAGGCCCCAGGGAGCGATGCCCAGCGCCACCACCTTGCTGAGGGAGACAGACGAGGCCGCTGTGGCGTGATCCCTCACCGCCTCTCCGACACACTTCCCCACACCTTCACGCAGGCCGGCCGTCAGGATCCACGCTCCTTGGGGGGGGGGTTACACAGAGAATGCAAGGAGATATGAGAAATTGTGTAACTTTGAAAAGCCACAATAACCTTTAACTATTAAAAACATCTGTGTCATATCTCACCAAGTCCTTGACTTTAAAATATAATTTAAAATAACCACAAAACTTGGTGGACAGAAGCAGTATAGGTGAGGAATGAGGATCAGGCAGCACTTCGAGGATTTTTTTCATCACTTTCATCATTTGGTCTTTTTAAATTTGTGCTGCAAGGATTTATTTCCAGTTCTGCCGTGTCTTCAAATATCTAAAGGTTAACCAGAGTCGTGTCCCTTGCTTTCATGTGTTCGCCTGAATGTTTTTGTTTTGATCCACGGCCACAAAAAGAACAGCTACTTGAAGTGTCCTGAGATGATGAGGATCACAGTGTGCCACCTGTCCTTGGCACAGTAGCCAGGAAACGGCTATTGTATGACTAAATCAGGATCGCACCCCAGAGAGCCATGAAGTTTAATGGTGCTGCAGTTTGTAACGGCGGGAATCTCCTGTCATAACTTCCACGAGTCAATTCTTTGAATTTCAAGAAAGCGTTGATTCATTATTTTACACTGTATTTGTCAGTTCCTGAGACATGTTGACAAATTTCGGAGGGATTAAAAAGCATGAGGATCTCCAGTGAAAGATCACAAACCCGAGGAAAGTGCTACAAAACTCTCACATAAAAACATTCGGAACATTTTTATCTCTTAAAGCATGTATATATAGATATAATCACACTAACAAATAATGCTAGATTAGTCCCCATATTAAAAAAGAAGCTACATCAGTAAGAAAGATTACTTCAAGGGGAACAAGTCGATTTAATCAAGACCAAATACGCTGAACTCGGACAAACTGCTCCACAAGTTAGAGCTGCACTGATGTAATCAGGATAAAGTAAACAGCGGATGTGGGTTCGACAACACTGTTAACTGGTTGCAACCTCTGATCCACTTCTGTAGAAGGGTGTGAGGTGTTGATTTAGTTACTTCACATGCTTTCACAGTGCGTTTACCTGTGCTTTGTGAGGCTTTCACCAGTCCCTGCCTAAGGACCTCCCGTACCCATGTCTTCACCTTTGTCCTTCCCTCTCCACCCACTACAGACACCACCAGATTGGGCGGTGGCAGGCCCCAGTGGGCCGTCATCAGGGTGTAGACCATAGACGGAGGGGTGTCCCATGACAGGCGTAGGAACTGAGAAAAAAAATGAACATAAGGTATGTTTCAAAAGTAGTAAAATGAGCCAAAAGACGAACTAAGACATAAAAAATGTAAGGATTCTGATCATTTTTGTACAATATGATGCTAAAGGTGTCTCCATCTAGTTATAATAAACTCCGTACAGATATGTGACCTCAATCTCAGTGTACTTTGTTATAGCAGCAGGGTAAAGGTTACCCAGATTGCTACACATTTAATCATAAACTCTAAGACTGTAGGAATAAAGTGTTAAATGAACCCTCCAGATAAAGTCACCCACATAGCTATGTCTCTTGCTGGCCCCTGCAAACTGGAGCTCTCCAAAGGCATCCGTCGGGTACTCCGACGAGTGCTGGGCGCTGTCCCAGTGGTTGACGATCGCCGTGCTGAAGTAGTCACCGAGAGCCACAGAGCCGTGGGTGTCTCTTGCACTCCCACACTGGCAAAGGGCCCCATTACTGAGAGAGGTGAGAAGGTAATACATCAACGTGAAACCATCTTATCGGCACAGTGATCAGAGAGACATTATTATCAGACAGAAACGTGCTCGGCAAAGTTCACACTACCTGAACGAATCCTCTACGAAGGTGGAGCACACTCTTTTCTTTATGATTTTGGGGATCCAACTCTGAAAACAACATCAGCAGGTTAGTAATCTGAGTTGTACGTGCAGACCGACACAATCATAGGAAGTTTATTTCTGACCATACCCTTGGATGCCTGGAAATAAGAGAGGAGGGGATTCTGTTCAGATGACAAATATTGACTTTGGCTCTGTGAAATACCGAATGATGGGCTGGTGAGTTATGCTGAGCCTAAACACCCGACTGTTACTTCTGACATGGTGCTGCAGTTTCATCTCGTGTACATGTGTGTGTGTATGAACATGCGTGTGTGTGGGCACGTAGGTATCTTCAGTCTGCAAGACAACCACAAACCTGCCTACTGACACTTGCCTAAACTCTGATATCAAATGAACACTGTAAATAGTAAATATTTAAATGTTTGTGCTAAAATGATACAGTTATCTTAAATAGATGAGTCCACTGTTTTGACAGGGATAATCATGTTACCATAATAATGTTATCAGTTACACCAGTGCATGGGAGTGAAACTGCAACTTTCACATTTCACATTTTAGTTTCATTATTTAGATGCTGGTGTTGCTAATACTTTTCAATTTACAGTATAGATTTTAAAACAACTCACCAAAGAACAGATATATATATATATATGAATAAATAGCTTCAAGTAATTTCTATACGTTATTCTGGAAAGATGGAAGAAAGAAAGTAAATATATAAGCAAATTAAAAATAAATAAATACTTTTAAGTAATTTCTTTACAATATTTGGGAAGGAAGAAAGAAGGGAACATTTTAATAACAAACAAATAAAACTAATGAATAAAACTAAATTACTTCAAGTAATTTCCTTGACCTGCTTATGGTGATAATTAAAGAAGGAATAAATAAACAAACAAACAAATAAATAAAGCAGTTGATTGAAATAAGCATTAATATCCTGATATCATCAATTATTTTTTAAATAAAGTAATATTAAATAAAAAAGTAAATAAAATATTTCCTAATATTCTACATCCTCGGCTTTAAAAGAAACAAGGAAATCTAATATATTGTTTTCTCCTGGAGGTTATGTGAATAAGTTTTGAGTGAAGTTTTTAGAGGTGTTTTTGAAGAAGCACTGGAGGTGGAGTGTAACGCAGAGAAACGTACGCTGCCTCAGAAAGTTGCGGTGAAGTCACCGTGAATCGACTCTTACGTATCAAACGCTTGCAGCAGTGTCGGTTGTTCCGCAGCGATGCTAACGTTAGCTTCACTTCCGCCGTCTGGACGCGAGACACAACAGCTGCGCAGCTCTGTCATAGAGGACTGACACTTCTGTTTACACACAACACACATGAACCACTGTCCCCGTGTGTGTCCGGGACCACACACCAGACTGTGAGTATCGAACTGTGACTCAGTGTGAGTCGTTCATCGTGAGTCTGGACCACAGAGACGAACTTCCACCTTGTTTTTAAACTTCCCTACAGTTTTCTTTGCCCACACGTCACCAAAGTCACCGTGAACGGAAAGTTTGAAACCCACCTGGTCCTTCTCGGATTTACAGATTTTGTCTTCTTCTTCTCCTCCTCCTGCTCCTCCTGGTGTGTCCCTCATGTTGTTTCGTGTCCTCTTCCTTTGCTGCAGTTGTTGGTCTCAGAGGGAGACAGACAGGGAGGGAGGAGAGGACCTCAGGGCTCCTTCCTGGTCATGATCCTCCGGAGAGAAGACTCGTGTTCTGAGCTAAACCGGAGCTAAACGTGTGGGAAGGGAATCTAAGGAGACGCCATTTGTCTTTCTGCAGCCACAGACACTGGATCAGGGCAGACAACGCCGCTCAGGTGAGGGTGTGGTTCGACAGAGAGGCAGACACGTTGTAAAAGCCACCCCTCAAAAGTGTGAGGAAAGGTGGGGCCACGTCCAAGACACTGACTGGTAATACCTGGAGAGAGCTGGAGCCCACTCACCAGGATACACCTTCCATGGGTGTCTGATTTTAAGACGAGGTAAGGAAGCTATCTTCCTTACCTCTTGTACATGTAGTTTGGTATGTACGAGGGAAGGAAGTAGGTAAGATAGGTATGTAGGTTGGTAGGAAGTAAGGAAGGTAGGTAGGATAGGTAGGAAGTAGGTCAGTAGGTGGGTAGGTAGGAAGGAAGTAGGATAGGTACGAAGGTAGGAAGGTAGGTAGTGAGAAAAGTAGGTAGCAAGGAATTTACATTGGTGGTAGTTGTATGGCGAGAGAGAGATAGAGAAAAAGATAGAAAGATAAACTTTATCGAGCCCAAATAAATTCACTTCTTACAGCATATTGAAACTAAGTTCTGCTGTGACACATTCTGCTGCTGGTAGAGAGGTGCGTCAAAAATAAAAAGTCCAAACAGTGATGGTGATACCAGATATTTGCTTATGCTTAAATAAATGCATTAAATGCAATAAAGTATTAGTGTAACATCCTAACAAATATTAAAATGCAAATATTTGCATGAGTAAAACTGACACCACAACTGAAGAAACCTTTGGAGCATTTTTTTAATAGTTTTTTATTCTTGATGATGATTATAAGTAAATGTGAAGGATTTTTATTCTCATTTTTGACTTGAGAAAAAAATAGATCTCATCTACATCTTGCTGAGTGAAAGTCATTAGTCTGCTGTTCCTTCAAATATCCGTGGATTGGACTGGGGAGTGTTACCTGCACAGGCCACACGAGGGCCCCAGAGGTTTAAGAGTCATACATCTCTGCTGCTGAAACATACATCTTTTCAGGATTTTACCCACAACCTTCTATTCTAATGGCCCCTGGCACAGGAAGCGAGCCTTCATATGACTGATTTCAATTTGACAGCAGCATAATAAATAACAATGCTGTGTCTTCCAGTTTCCTAATTGATAGTTCTGAATTAGCCATTTGATTATGGACAAATCAAATAGCAAATCAAAGTTTGATTTCATGTGAATCAATCAACGTGTTTGCTCAGCCATTGGAGATATGGTAAATTTGACGGAGTGGGGGTCAAAGAGTTAGCTCTGTAACAAAAGACCAGGTTTTTGTTTCAGGTGAGAAACGTGTATTATTGTGATCAGCCAACGTCCCAGTGTCTGCGCCCGTGCACCAGACTTAGAATATCTTGTCAACACCTTTATGGTTTGTGAGGGTCAGGGACAAAGCTCCAACTGACAACAGGTCCACACTGTTGTATCTGGAAATGTGAATATTTTAATGACATCAAAAGGCAGGTTCTCATTATTTCTTCAGACAAAATATCTCAGAAATGTCATTGTTTTCTGAACAAACAGCTGTTATCTAAAATCAATTTTAAAAATAAANGAAAAAACATGTTATAGGTGTATTTCACGCACATATTAGATAAGTACCAGTCAGTCAGAACATAAACAGATAGATTTGGTTGTAGACTATGTTGAGAACTCTCCACCTCCTCAGTCCATAATATTTCCTCTCAGTCCTATCTCCCGTATCCCTGCGGGTCGTTGGTCTTCTTCGACTTCTCTTTACCATCTGTTTTGCTTAAGGTGAATAAAGTGTTGGCCAGGTTGTGGAGCTGGCACGTCCCGAGCTGGCAGCCAGGCTGAGGTGAGCGTCGTGGGCGTAACCTCAGTGCCATGCTGTCGATGAGAAAGAGGGTAGAGGTCAGAGTTGGCCCCTCAAAACATTTCATATACACTCAAGAAATAATCTCAGGAGTTGCGGTATATTGTGATACTAACACAAGCAGATGAGTGTTTACAAACACTCGCAGTATGTTTTTAAATTTCGTTAATTAATTTCATTAATTAATTTCATTAATTAAGTTTCGTACTTGTGTTTCAGTGGATCCAGGCCCAGACGATCATCCTCTGAATGAAACGGGATGATCTTCAGTGCTGAGACATGCTCTTCCCGTGTGTCCTCTGATTTTTTCACCCCTGAAGCCTGGACAGTGTCCCCAGAGAGGACAGAGTCTGCGTCTGACCTGCGAATCCCACAGAGTGAGGTATACAACTCAGATTTACGATGATATAAGAGGCAGTGAAACTGATCTGTAGGGAAGCTTTCATTTAACTTCCTAAGTCATTGTGGTTAGTGGTTCTCTTCTGTGTGTTTACAGATGTTGTTCAGTCACTTACCTTTGAGTCAGTCTAAGTGGTGAGGCAACAGTCAAAGGCACAGTCAGCAGCAGCAGAACAGTTATCTCCATTCCGCACTGGCCTGTGGCAGAAAAATAATTGTTACTCAACATCAATTTAATTCTTCAAAACTGAATATTAGCCATAAAAACACAGATGCATTAGACATCTAATATGGCCAAAAAAAGGCAATAGACACGTTAATTAAGAGCATTAGAGACCTTATCATAAGAGAAACAAGACAATTGAAGAATGATACTCACCACCAAGAAAATGTAAAAACCTGCTGTGGCTGTTCGAGTGAACCATCAATCCAGATGTGCAGTTGTAGTTCTTTGCAGATTGCTGAGATGCTCCAACCTGTCAACCAACTCCACATCTGGTCCTTTATAGTGTGATGGCAGAGTGTGGGGGCGTGTCCATCACCCAGTCATTCACCACACTGACACACTCCCACTCATTAATCTGCGGCGGAGGCAGTTTTATCTTCTATTCACACAAGCTACCATACTAACATAAACAACCTCTTTAACCATACGCAGTATATATGCATTGTACTTATACTTGAAGTGACCTTGTACCTCGTGTGACACACACACACACACACACACACACACACACACACACGAACACCCCTCCTCTCCCTCACTCCACTTGCTGCTGAGCAATTGTTCCAGAATATCATTCTTTCATTTCCATCACCTGCAGGAAGCCCGCCAAGCCCAAAATAACCCTGATTCTCCTCCAGGCGTTTCTTTATCGCTGCCGTTTTTTCCTGTGGGCTTCTTCCTTTGAGTCACTTTTGCCGTCAATATGTTTATTCCTGAAATGTCCTTCATCCCACCTCCCCTACCCCCCCAAATAAAATACACTGTTTGGAAAACAACTGGTTGATCTTACCCCTCACATCAGGGATAATGTTTTCATCAAATTATTGCACTTAATGTTGGTTAATGGTTTTTATCTTCCCCCTGATCACAGAAATAAGGAATGATGAACTTTTTAGGATTGGCACATTTGAATATCTCTCTAGGAAATTCTCCCATAATTCTTCATCTTTTTATAATATAGTATCCACAGGGAGCCGGTGTCACGTTTAATGTTTTCCAGCCTCCACATGGTTTCTCCCAGCTTCTGTTTTCGTCACTAAATCACAACTTCCTCTCTAGAGTCTATTGTGTATTCTTCCTGTGACTGCCATCTGGGCGATATAGAGCACTGAGTCATCGCTGGCGTGCATTCAGACCACAATATAAGCAGTCATATGATGAGGCAGCATCGTGATTTCCCATGATTAAGAAGTAATTTAACACGTATTGTTATGAATAATTTCCTCTGAAACGTTACTGCTGTGATGACAGTTACTATGTGTTAAAAGCCTCCCAGCCTGGGGGGGGAACCAGGTCCTGTACACCTGCTGCTACCGGGTTTGAGTAAATTGGTAATTTTGGTCAAAAGTATGAGTAGAGGAACATTTTATAAACCAAGTAAATACATCCTATATAAGAAAATGAACTTTGCTAGTCAATAGCTGGGAACAACTGTCACATGTACAGAATCAGAATCAGCTTTATTGGCTGAGCATGTGTACACTCAAAAGGAATTTGACTCTGGTTTTACATTCCTCTCAGTGTACTCAGTGTAAAAATAATAAACATGCAGCTAGGAAGGAGAAGAACAATACAACTGAACAAATCAGTAAAATGATGGTTAGCATGTTATAACAAGTGGCTTTATTCATATTTTTTTCAGTTCTCTAAGGGAGGGTCAAGATCTGTTTTGTTACCCTGCAGTGCAATTTAAAAGCAATTATTATTATTATTAATCTCATTATTGTATGTACATGCGTCCGTCCATGCCATTCCTGTGAACGTGAACTCAAGAATGTCTGGAGGGAATTTCCTTGAACTTGGTACAAATATTAATTTGGACTTAAGGATGAACTAATTAGATTTTGGTGGTCAAAGGTCACGGTGACCTCACAAAGCACATTTTTCTGCCTTGTGAAGGTGATGTGTCTGAAACGTCATCAAGAAGTTCTTCACATTAAGCAAAAACATTAACTTGGAGTGAAAGATTAAGACATTAGATTTTGGTAGCCTAAGGTCAGTTTATTGTTTGCCTTGTGAATGCAATATCTTTGAAATGCCTTGATTAGATAAAGTGATTCTGTTTCAGCTGTAAAAGGTAAAGGTTACAGTGACCTTTATATGAATTGGGAAAAAGTATGAGAAATATCAACTGTGCAATAGTTAACAGAGGCATCTACTGCAGAGCTGTATGTAATTTTTTAATAGTGCATTACAGTTTACTCAACATCATGAAGACACATGATGCAGCACAAACTAAGAGGGTGAACTAGAGTTAACAACATCAATATCAACAAGAAACTAAAAACAAAGAGAAAAAATAATGTTTGTCTTAGATTATCTTATTGTCGTACATGTGTATGTATTTTTATAGATTCTTAATAGAGAGGATTAAAATTAAGAGTAACTCAAACTACATGTCTCCTTAAACATACATTGTTTGTCACTGTCCAATGGAAGTTTTATGTTTGGATTCCATAGGAATTGTAATGGCACAAAATGATCTCACGTGTACATGTCTTAAACTCCTCTTCACAGTACACACGGACGAGCACAGAGAAACGTTCTCTCTTCAGCAGGTGAATGTGAAAACAACTTTGTAGTCAAACTGCAAATATGTCACGGGGAACAGTGAAGATCAGACATTCAAGTGAAGTAATGACAATCGTAACACATGTTTGCGTGGAAGGCGACTTTAAGAGGATAACAAATACATTGCAAATGTACTTATTACTTAAGTATAAACATTGTGTAAAAATATTTTGATTAATACATCTATAACGGATTATTTATTTCACAGCCATCAGTAGATATTTACCATTATATCAAATATAGAGACATTCTGTGGGCTCCTCGTATGGGATACAAATAATGTCACAAAAAAAGAGATCCAAACTCTGTCCAAAATAGCTTTCTATCAAAGTGTTGACCCTGAGCACGTACAGTGGTGAGTTGAGTTAAGGCTACATGCAGTATTTAGTGTCCTAGGTGTTATGACAGCGAGTCACGATATGAGTCTGTGTCAGGATGATTAAAGTGGGCAATCCTGGATTGCGTACATCAGTAACAATGGTTGTTTTTAAAGGTCACCGTGGGTCCTCAGCCCCCTTGTAGCTCTGACTTGTTGATATCCCATATGTCAAGCGGCTAATTCATCTTGGAAGTATTATGCGTTTGCTTCCAGGAGAGCACTTTGTCAGGACTCCTCTGACTTTTCTCCCGCTCTCATTGACGTAACGTGCATCCTGTTGTTGTTGCAGATCCGCAGCTACCAGTCAGCCACTTCAGCCTCTCTGCCCTGTTTCCTCTACCCACTGGGCATAAGAGTGAGCATCCTGCCAGGAAGGCCTGTCTGTCACTCGCATATCATCTTCTCACAGTTCTCAGCTTTTCAGGTCACTCAAGACTCTTCGCCACAAGAGTGTGAACATCTATTTCAGACAGTAGAAAGTAGGTTAGCTTAGCCGTAAACAGAAACCTTTTACATTTTATATCGTACAGTTGCATACAGATAAATAATCTTCTGAGTGAATTAACTGAACCATAAATGGCTCCATCTTGTGGGATTAGACACAAACATTATCTTGATAATAAGTGCTCAAAATGAAATTCACTGTACATTCTCATTTATGTTTTAAGCTGTAAACTATACTGATTTTATCTTAGGTGACTCTGCAAACACATTTCCCAGCTGTGTTTTTCAAGTCCAGCTTAGAGAAGCTCAAGCGTGGTCACGCAACAGCTAGAGAAGCGACGTTAGACAAAATCTTAATGGTTATTTAAGTGTTTCCTCGGCTATCAACAGCTGTGAGTGAAACAGATAGACGCTAGGCAGACAGACAGAGAGAGAGAGAGAGAGAAAGAGAGAGTTGTGTAGCAGCAGTCTGGAAAACCTGTAAAAGGTTGGAGGGTCAACACAGAGAGATATAAGCCGAGAGTCCATTAGTGGATTATAACCAAAACCACTCCATGGCTACTGCATCTCTCCTGGATTAAAGTGAGAGAGAGAGAGAGAGAGTGAATGCTTGAGGGCGACTGGAAAGTGAAGTGACCAAATTCAAATGCAGAACACTGCAGTGTCCGCACACGTGGACCGAGAAACGCAGTGAAACGCTAAACTGAGCTCTTTGGGTGGATCTGAGGTGGTTCTGTCACACGTACGGTACAACACCTGACTGAAAGAGTGAACGGACTGAGGTAAGTGTGAAGGATGAACAGCTTAAAAATGTTTCTGGAAAGTCTTTCCAGAAACATTATCAATAATCATTGCAATGTCATTGTCTTTAATAGCAATCTAACAGGTGGAATATATATCGATAAATGTCTTTTTATTGTACAAGCACAGTGAGGAGGTATAAAACATTTGATCGACCTCAGTTTGTGTTTGTCATTCTCTATAGTCTTTGAGAAGTTTTCAAAACTACAAACTTCACTCTGGAGTGATGTGACATTTGTCATAATAATTATCAATATCGAAATACACTTTTTTATCTTGATGTAATTTTTGGCCATGTCCACCCTTCTTTATAGAAAATATTCAATATGGATAATTGTTGTGTAAAATATCAGATTTCCGCTTTAATCAGTCAGGAAACCATTGTTGCCGTGATGCTGATGTGATGGTATGATGAGTGTTTTACCAAATCATTCCTTCTCTTAAATTTCACATTTACTTCGCAGACGCGTATCCTGCTAATGTGTCTGTTAATGCATAACCTCTGTCATCACCATCATTGTTGTTGTGTAACTTTAATTTTGTTATGGCCCTGAGTGATTATTCCTCTGTGTGTGTGTGTGTGTGTGTGTGTGTGTGTGTGTGTGTGTG